TACAGAGTTCCTAAGGCTTGTGGTTCCTGGTTAAATGTTACTGGCATAGTATTGCTTGGTCTACAGGGTAATCCTCTGCTCTTTCTTCTCCCACAGGGGATGGTATGAATGCCTATGTGGCCTACAAAGTCACCACACAGGTGAGTCCTGGTGACCCTGCCCATGTCCACCTCGACAGACTCCACCGCTCATGCCAACAAGCCTGCCTTAATCATTCACAGTATTTCTGGGTATTTTTTGGCTTCTTTGCCAACATTTTCTTTCAGGTTTACTCAGGATGTAGTCAGCCTACATCCCCTTATCTGGGTACTCTAGGCTGAGCCTTTCCAGTATTCTTTTTTTTTGAGACAAGGTCTCCCTATGTAGTTCAGCCTGGCCTTGAACTCACTGTGTAGCCCAGGCTAGCCTCGAACTCATGGCAATCCTCCTGCCTCAGCCTCCCCAGTGCTGGGATTACAGTCATGCCCAATATTCTTATAAGTGAAACTTCACAAGTCCTTTGTTGTTTTTGTTTTGTTTTATTTTTATGGTACTGGAGGTTGAACCTAGGGTATTGCCACTGAACTACATCCCCCCATCCCTTAAAATTTTTTTTTTTTAATTTTGAAACTAGGTCTCGCTAAATCACTAAGTTGCCCAGGCTGGGCTTGAACTTGTCATCCTCTTGTCTCAGCCTCCCAGAGTGCTGGAATTACAGGCGTGTGCCACCATGCTTGGCTGTAAGTTATTAAGACATAGAGTATGTCTCATTTTTGCCTCATCTCCAGTAAGAGCTATGTACCTTAGAGCTTCTTTGGTGGATTGCCCTAAACCAAAGGTAATTACCTATTCTTAAATCCTCAGTTCTTATGAGGTTTCATGTACACACTTTCTTTTAATATTAACTTTAACCTTTTGTCCCTCAAATCTGGTCTTTTTAAATGCAGCTGTTTTTTTTTTTTTTTTGGTACCGGGGATCGAACTTGGGTCTTTGTGCTTGTGAGGCAGGCAGAAGAACCACTGAGTTAAATCCCCGGCCCCCTTTAAATACAGTTTTAATGTGTACAAAACTTACACAGTGTAGCTGGGTTGGTGGTGCATACTATAATCCCAGCTACTTGGGAGGCTAAATCAGGAGAGTCACTTGAGCCCAGGAGTTTGAGACCAGCCTGGGCAAAATACTGAGATCCCATCTCAAAAACAAAACAAAAACAAACCCAGGCATAGTGGTGCATACGTGTATCCTAGTACCCTGGGAAGCTGAGGCAGGTGAATCTCAATATTGAGCCCTGTCTGGGCAACTTATTTTTTCTTTTTTCTTTTTTCTTTTGGTACTGGGGATTGAACTCGGGACCTTGCGCTTGCGAGGCAGGTGCTGGAACCACTGAGCTAAATCCCTGGCCCTTGGAGAACTTATTTTGAGACCATTTCAAAAATAATAAAAAGAGCTGGCCATGTCGTTCAGTGTTAAGGCCTTGCTTTCAATCCCCAGTACTACAAAAAAACAAAGCCAAGAAACCTTATACTGTTACATGCCAGTGGTGAAGTACAATAAAATGAAGCCCTGAACCTACAACCAGTTCTGAGAATAGTACCACTGTCTCCAGCCTTCACATTTCTCTGTCATGTGCCCTGCTTTCATACTTGAGTGACTACTGTCCTCAGCTCTCTCTCATTTCCTTAATAAAATGTCTTTACACGTGTATCTCTGAGTAACAGGCTATTTTGGTTTGTTTTTGAGTTTCCTGAAAATAGTGTCATGCTGAAAATAGTGATCTCTTAGCATTGTCTCTCAGCCTGTCCTGGCTGGGCACAGTTGTGGTTAGTCCACCCTGGGGATACACCAGTGTATCCTTCTGCTCTCCTGCTGTGAGACATCCTCCCAGTTGTTGTAACAGGAAATCACACCCTGTCCTGCACATCTCCAGTGCACCCATGGAAGGGTTTCCCTAGGGCATGTGACTGGAGGTCACCCTGTACCAGGTCTGCTGCAAATGGTGAACACAAGGAACATAAACTATTTCCTGAAGACTTTGTACCATCTTGTACTCCCATCGCCAGTCTATAAAAGTTCCCGTTGACTCACCACCTTGCCAACAGCTGGCAAGGCCAACCCCCTCACATTCTGCCTCCCGGTTGAGTATAAAGTAGCCTCCCATTACAGTATAGACCTTGCCTTTTTACTGGTCTTTTTGTATTGTCTTGCTAGTACAGTGTTACCTCAGTTTATGAACTTAAATCTGTTTTACGATTTTTGGGAAGATGGCCGTGGTTGTGTTTGTCACCTGATGTGGAGTTTTCAAACGGAAGCAAGGTTTTGCCAAACGTTTTTATTTGTGAACAGAATTGTTTGCAAACAGAAGCATTCATGAACCAAGGTATTACTGTACTTGTTAGCCTGCTCCTGTGAGGGCCAAATCTCCTGACACTTGAGAAGTTAAGGTCTGCAGTTTAGACACTGCATCTGATTCCTCCCTTCCCCTCGTGGAAGCACTCAGCATTCTAGTCTCTCTCATCTTCAGATTGTAGGCTTTAGTTCCAGCAGCCAAGACCTTTAAGTCAGTAAAGGATGAATTAGTTGATCACAGAATTCTACCTTTATGCTAATTCAACATTTGTGTGTTCTTAACCTGGAAAGAGACTGTATCTAAGTTTAATTGATGTCTTTGTGTGTGCATGTGCATGTGTGGCACTCGGGATTGAACGCAGGGCCTTTGCACTGAGCTACATCTCCAGTCCTTTTTTATTTTTTATTTTAAGACAGGGTCTTGCTAAGTCACTAAGAGTTGCTCAGACTGGGCTTGACTTTGTGATCCTCCTGCCTCAGCCTCCCAGAGTCCTGGCATTCCAGGCATGTGCCACATGGTGGTTTAATTGTCCTTATAATCCTATAAATTTAATTTTATGACTTTAAATTCATTTCTCTAAATAGGACTTCTGAGACTCACAGAGTACCAATAGGGGATACAGCTCAAGAGTAAAAGCATCTCTGCCTGGGAAGAAGAAAGTGATTTGCTCTGTAGCTGAAGAGCAGGGATCTGGGAAATAGAGCTCTTTGATGTCAGCTAGATGGCTTTTAAGATACCCATTCATCCCATATTTGGAATGAAAATGCCTTGTGTTTTTTTCTTTCCCCAAGACAAGCTTACCCATGTTCAGAAGTAAACAGTTTGCAGTGAAAAGAAGATTCAGTGACTTTCTGGGTCTTTATGAGAAGCTTTCCGAGAAGCATTCTCAGAATGGCTTCATTGTCCCTCCTCCACCTGAGAAGAGCCTCATAGGTGAGTAAGCCCGAGGTCTGCAGCTCCATGGAGGTCTCCCTTTGCATTCTTTCTGAATACACTTACTGCTTAGTGCACTGTGTGGAATGTAATGGTTGGCAAAGAGGCATGTCCAGCATGTTTTTACTTTGAGGTTTAGAAAAATAGCATATTCTGACACATTTTCTTTCCTTAGGTGCACAGAGTAGGCTGTGGTTTTTGCTACCAGTTTTGTTTGTGCTTTATATTTTCTTAACCAGGAGTATTAAATGATTGTTGTTCTCTCTATGCTGAAATGTACGAAACTGATTTGGGGGTGGGGGGAGAACTCCCCCATTGTCATCAATTGATTGTTAATCTATATTCAGAGTCTAGTGGCTTTTTTGTTTTTTTAAAGAAAATATACTCTGGAAGTCCTAGAGTTTAGAACCTTCAGTACACGCAGAGTCATTTAAAAGACAGCTCTCATGTAGGAACCTTTAGTTCGGGCCTGCTCGTGACCCAGAAGAGGCCCAGAAGAGCCTCTGTAGTCCTCTTCTTGTTGCCTTTCCTCCTGATGACTTTAAAATAGATTTCTCCTTCACATGAATTCTGCTTATTTTGCCTTTTAAATTCTATTCTAGGAATGACAAAAGTGAAAGTTGGGAAAGAAGATTCTTCTTCTGCAGAATTTCTTGAAAAACGAAGGGCTGCTCTAGAAAGGTAGGTGCTCCATAGCGATGTTTATAATAACTTGAGAACAAGAAGCTGAAACTGAGACTTAATTATGAGATGTTAGCTTCAGTTACTAGAAATGATACTTGAGTGAATTAAAGGGCCATGCCTCCATATTATCTTTAATAACTTTTCCTTAGTCTCTTACCTTCCTACCTTAGTCATAGACCATCTTTTCTTTCCCCATTCTGAGTGAGCTGACAATCACATTTTCTTTTTTGGTACTGGGGATTGAACTCGGGTCCTTGCACATGTGCAGAAGGCGGTGAAACCACTGAGCTAAATCCCCGGCCCAACAATCACATTTTTGATAGTCTAATTTGAATGGCTCTGAGGTTTCTTTTTTAAAATTTATTTATTTATCTTTGAGGGGCTAAGGCTACCACTGAGCTACATCTTCAGGCCTCTCCACCCCACCCCACCACACCATACCCCATTGCTGCCTTTTAAAAACTTTGTTGAGACAGGTTCTAAGTTGTTCAGGCTGGCCTTGAACTTGGGTTCCTCCCGCCTCAGCCTCACAAGTAGCTGGTGTAATCTGCATGTGTGCCTGACATGAAGTTTCTTTCTCACCATTTTTGTTGGTTTTTGTTTTCGCTTGTTTGAGACATGCTGTCACATAGCTCAGGCTAGCCCCAAACTCACTATGTAGCCAACGGTGGGCTCAAAGTGTGGTCCTCCTGCTCAGCTTCCTGAGTGCTGGGATTAAAGGTGTGTGCCACCATGCCTGGCCCTCACCAGTTATTTTTCCCTTCCTTTTTTTGAAAAGAACATGAACTTGAATGTACTTAAAAGCAGAGCCCTGCTTTATAAGCAGAGCCCTGCTTTATAAGCAGAGTCCTACTTAAAGTGCCATATCTTAGAACCTTTTAAGTAGTGAAAGATATGGTGCCTCACCAGCGCTGTACAACACCCAGTACCTTCTGAGGCCAGATCAGATAACCAGATACCTGTCTACCCTTCAGGTACCTTCAGAGGGTTGTGAACCATCCCACCATGTTACAAGACCCTGACGTCAGGGAGTTTTTGGAAAAAGAAGAGGTTAGTATTGTACAAAACTGAATTTCATAATTTATATCTATCCATAATGAAACTAGCTCCTTCCACCAATATCTATTTGAGCACCTAACATATAGTACCAGACTATATCCTAGTTTTATGTGACCCCCCAAGAATGGCAAGTAGTTTTCAGCCTTTGAAATAAAGTAGCTATGCCTGGAGTCACAAGCAACTGGTCGTAGAGGTCCAACAGCAACCTAGTTTTATCTTCCTGGATTAACAGTGATCTGTTTGGCAGGTCCATGGTATGTCTTTTATGGGTTACTACTTGGCTTAAATTGAAAGAGTATTTTGTACCAGGAGCTGAAGGGCACTGGTTAAAAACCAGTTACCAAAGACCACAGAACGGCCATGTTAGCAAAAGTGTTGATTCAAGTGGACAGTCTTTGTTACAGGCTATGCGTGGGTTGTTCATGATTGTGAAAAACTGGAGATAGTCCAGTTGCTAATAGCTGAAGAACTAAATAAAATATATCAAACAATAAATACTTCCTTCTCACCATAAATAGAAGGTATGTAGAAATACTAGTATGTAGAAGCATCTGTTAAAGGCATTACAAAAAGGGAAGCATGAAATAGCTTGTAATTATCTTTGAAGTAACAATTAAGTCATTCTGGATCAAAAGAAACACTAGAATAAAACAGTATTTTATCCCAGAACATTAGGAGGAAGCAAGTGACAGGATAAGACTGTCATTTTAATTTTTAAATCTTTTTCTAATATGTATTTATATAGACTGTTAGTCAAATGAAAAAATTTATACTAAGTCTTTGGGATTTTTCTTTTCCAAGACGAATTTAATTAAAATGTCTCTGTCAAGTGCTTTAAATCTTTTACTTCTTCCTCTGGTGTTCCTGAATCCTTTCTTCTCTTTTGCTGCCTTGTCCTTTCCTCCATACTCCTAGAGCAGGGCTCATCCACACCAGCACTGTGGACCCTGGGCCGGGTTATACTCTGTGGTCAGGGCGTCCTGTGTATGGCAGCAAGTTTTAGCACCATCCGTGGCCTGGACCCGCTAGATGTCAGGAGCCCTCCCTCCCCATTTGTAACAACCCAGATCATCTCCAAATGCCCAGATCATTGCCAAGTGTCCCCTGGAGGGGAAATGGTCCCAACTTGAGAAACACTTTTGTAAAGTCCAGAGAACTAAAATTTTAACTTTTTAGCATAGTCTACAAAGTAAAAGTAGCCTCAATCTAAATAAATGGTGCTCCTGTCCTTGGACACTTATTCACTGAGGAAACCTCAGTGGGATCATAACACAACTTCAGTCCAGCAGTGTGCAGAGTAGGAGACTAACCCAAAGGCACCAGTGACTTTTCACAAAAGTCTGCACGGTATTTAAGCAGTCCACGCCTGGACGGGCAGACACACTCCATGTGAGGTCACCTGGCCACATAACACTCCCAGTCCTTCTACAGATAATATCAAACAATGAAAATTTTACTGACTCTTTTTAACATGGCTTTTTAAGTTTTTGTTTGCATATACTAGTTTTAGATTGATGTAACTGCCTAAGATTACAACCCATCTACAGTTCAAATATTTGTTCAGCAAGTTTTGGGCATGTCATCTGATGGATACTAATTCTTCTGAACCTAAAATAGGGGCAGCAGATAACTTGGCATCCCCGCCTTCTTGGTCTTGTAGCTGCCACGTGCTGTGGGGACCCAGACCTTGAGCAGTGCTGGTCTCCTCAAGATGTTCAACAAAGCCACAGATGCAGTCAGCAAAATGACCATCAAGATGAATGAATCAGACATTGTGAGTAGCTCTATGCCTCTTGGCTTCCTCCACCCCTAGGCTATGAGTTAGAAGTCCTTCAATGTCTGACAGAGACTTTCCATTAAAAAAATTCAGTTCCTTTCAGAACAAAACAGTAACAGCAAAACCTGCTAGGAAAAGACTGCTCTGTACCTCCACACATAACCCCTGCTGCTCTGGCCTTGTGTGTTTTAGTGGTTTGAGGAGAAGCTCCAGGAGGTAGAATGTGAGGAGCAGCGCTTACGGAAACTGCACGCTGTGGTAGAAACACTAGTCAACCACAGGAAAGGTAACACCTCTCAAATGTACCGGGACCTGGGGGGAATTGTTGTCTCCAGTGAGCTGGAGGTAGCAGGGGATGCTTTTCCCAAGCCTCTCAGCCATCCAAGTTGAAATTCTCAGCCCACCCTGTCCTTGGTGTTCTGATCTTAAAAGAAGATAGGCCACTGTGGGCCCTGGGCTTTCTCCCTGGGAGGGAGGCAGGAAAAGAAGATAGGCCACTGTGAGCCCTGGGCTTTCCACCTGGGAGAGAGGCCAGGAAGCTTTCCCAGATACACTGTGACCTCAGATGAGGGCTTCTAATTTCATGGCTTGCATCCAAAATAATAGCACATGTGCCTTAGTTACATGGTCATACCAGCAGTGTAAATGTAGGGAAGCCATACACAACTCCCAAACCTTCTTTACCTTTCTTTGGTAAGATTTGCTTAAGAGCTGTCAAAGTTTTCTAAGTTTGAATGCTTTCCTCTTCTGCCTTAAACATATTGATAATTAGAAATCTAGAGCTGGGCGTGGTGGCACACACTCAGGAGGTTGAGGCAGGATAATCACTGTGAGTTTGAGGCCACCCTGGGCTACATAGTGAGTTCAAGGCCAGCCTGGGCTACACAGTGAGACCCTGTCTCAAAAAAAAACAAAACAAAAAAAGTCTGAAAGATAGACCTTTAACATGAGGCTAGCTGGCAAACCGACCAGGCCCATGAGCTAAGAATGGTTTTCACCTTTTTTTTGTTTTATTTTGTTTTTGTTTTTGTTTGGCACCAGGGATCGAACTGGGGAGTGGTTTACACATTTTTAAAGGGAGGAGTGAAGAGAAAAAAGAATAGGCAGCAGAGATAATGTGTGATCCGCAAAGCCACTTACTATTTGGCCTTGGATAGAAAAAGTTTGCCTTGTTCTAGAACATTTAAGAAAGGCTGCAATTCCTAAGCTTTTTTTAAATTTTTTTATCGGTACTGGGGATCGAACTCAGGACCTCATGCTTGCGAGGCAGGCAGCGGCACCACTGAGCTAAATCCCTGGCCTGAAATCATTCTTACTTTTATGTTAAAGCTTATGGGACCAGGGATTTAGCTCAGAGGTGCCGCTGCCTGCCTCGCAAGCGCGAGGTCCTGAGTTTGATCCCTGGTACTGATAAAAAAAAAGAATGATTTCTTTGGCCTTTTCATATTAATTGGCCCTTGGTTCTTCAAGGCTGCCTCCTTCAAGCAGGCCTAACCTAATGAGTCATAGGACAGTAGGTGCCTCTCCCTCCTGCTCCTCTGACCAGACCACTTCCTCCCACCTGGGCCTCAGTTGTGAGATATGCAGGGGACAGCATTGTTAAGGCATGCTGTACAAAGCCAGCTTCTCCCTTTTCCTTGTGAGATCAGAGGGGCCTCTGCTGTCTTTTCCTCCTTGCAGAGCTAGCGCTGAACACAGCCCAGTTTGCAAAGAGTCTAGCCATGCTTGGGAGCTCTGAGGACAACACGGCATTGTCACGGGCACTCTCCCAGCTGGCTGAGGTGGAAGAAAAAATTGAGCAGCTCCACCAGGAACAGGCCAACAATGACTTCTTCCTTCTTGCTGAGCTCCTGAGTGACTACATTCGCCTCCTGGCCATAGTCCGCGTAAGCTTCAGATTCCTTTCCTTCTCTTGCTCCCCTTGATGGAATTGGTCTTTCCTGTGCTCTTCCCCTTCCCAAAGCCTCATCTCTGTAGCTTATGATATACATCTTTTTTTTTTTTTTGTACCGGTGATCGAACTCTGGTCCTTGTGTTGGCAAGGCAGGGAATGGAACCACTGAGCTAAATCCCCGGCATCTCTGTAGCTTATGAATAGGCATACTCTGAAGAATGAAAGTACCCTGTAAGCTAGTCCATTTGTTAACTGGTTGTCACTGAGTTATTTGGAGACCCACAACCAGTTTCCTAGATGCATTTGGAGAAAAGATCATCCCTGACTTTCAAAGTGCCTCCCTATATGTTGGAAGCTGGATAGTGTCCCCAGTGCTCCATTCTCCAACCAAGGCTTATCACAGGCCTGCTATGTTGCTCCCTGGAGCAGTGACTTCCTCAGCCCTCTGGTCTTTGCCTCCACTGGGTGGTGGCTTTGCTCTAATAAGAGCACTTGCTAGCTTACACTTGTCCCTCCAGTGTGGGCAGTCAGGTAACTCCAAAGAACCAGCTTGGTGGCCTTGCATGAGGGGAGAAGCATGGCCCAGGGCCTGGAGAGTTTGTCTCCAGAGCCCTCCTGTGGTGACTTGGGCAGTCTCGCCTCCCATGAGGTCTCAGAGAAGTTAAGGAAGCTTGATGGGGCACTACCATTAGCTCTCTCATGGTCTCCCTGAAATGGAGGAAAGAACTGTAAGGGAGCCTGGCACCTGCCTTGTAAGAACTTCCATCTGTGCCTGATTCAGCTTGGGACCAGGATGTGTGAGCTCTCATAATGGTGCCACCCCGTCCGCATCCCAGACACATCCCCCTTCAGGGAGCTTCTGTGTTGTGTCAGGAGCTGAGCTGCTCCCAGCTCCTCCACAGAAGCGTTGCTAACATAGCCTATGAGGCTGCTCGGTGTCCACTCCTCTCCCTTTGCTTCTGGTTTGCTGCTAACTCCACAGTGATCAGAGGCTTGACAAGTAACCTGCCGTGGAATTTTCAGAACTGGTCAGACTGCGTAGACTGGAAAGCCAGCCCAGGAAGGGCCCTGGCTAGGGAAGAGCTGCTGTGAGGAGCACCACTCTGGGACATGACCCTGGCAGGGTGGGCACCCTGCAAAGGGGTGCAAGGAGGCCAGCCTGGAGCTCTGGGGGCAGGGCTAGAGTTTGGGACACATCCCTTAGACCTCAGAACTGCAAGCTGGCCATTCAACCCTTCGTCTGCCCTCTCACATCATCAGTGAGCAGTGGAACCAGAGATGAGCAGAGTTTCTTTCCTGCCCTTCTCTGAACTTGGGCCACTCTTGTCCCAGTGGGGTAGATTGGAGTCTTTCTTGAATATGAAGTCACCTTTTACCTGATCCTTTGACTTTGAGGTGTTACAACTGCAGAGGAGCACAGCAGTAAGTGACAGTGCCGAAGGTGCCTTTGGTGGCACTGCACTCCTAAGGTTCCAGTTTTTACAAATGCTAAGGAAGCCCAGAAAACATTCAGGGAACTTTTTGTTTTTGAGATAGGGTCTCACTATATATTTCAGGCTGGCATTGAGCTCACTATATAGTGCAAGCTGGTCTCAAACTCATGGCGATCCTCTGCCTCGGCCTTCTGAGTGCTGAGATTGCAGGTGTGCATGACCACGCCCAGCTCTATACAGGGTGCTTCTGCACGGAGAGGAGCAAAGAGCAGGTTAGGAGGCTGACTGGGTGAAGACCTAGATACACGCCGCTTTTGAGGCCCACAGAGCAAGTGTGGAGTGGAGGCTGGTTTAATTTGACTGACAGCTACCCTTCTCTGGAAATGCTGATCGTATGAGGGACTAGAAGCCCAGCAGGTAGACTTTGGGGAGCTTCCTTAGAGGCCTGGATAGTCTAGCGTAGGTGAATGTGCACTTGCAACAAAAGCAGGCGGCAGGTGGCACCGTGGCAGGTGTGTTTATTTAAAAAATCTTTTGGTAACCCTGTGAGCTCTTCGGGTGGCAGCTGAAAAGTTGCTTCCCTGATTCAGACTTCCTAGACATACCTTCCAGGCTAGGCTAGGTCCCTAGTTCTCTTTTATAGTGCTCTGCCTGTTTTCCCACTGCTCTGCATACTTATATGTATCTCCTTGTAACTGCTAATATAATGATGGCCTTTTCCATTATGTGTTACCCATTATGTGCTAAGTTCCATGAGAGTAGGACCATGGGTTTCCTTCCCGCTGTATTATTACCTCCTGGCAATTGCAGGTTCTCAGGCAAAGCACGCAGACTCATGGACTGGCTTTTCTGAGAACCATAGCACTGGGCACTGGTATCAGGTCACCACCTCTGGTGCTCCCAGCCATCCAGCTCTGGAAGCAGCATGAAGCAGCATGACACTAGCCCATTGGAGGAGGCTTAGAGAGGATCTCACCCAAGCTTGTGTTTCTAGACGTTAAACCTCTCAGCTGGGCACAAACACACAGCTGCAGGGCCTACCCTTGCTTGGTTCCTCTCTGACCCAGATGCTGGGCAAACCACCCCCCCCCAGGGCCCTAGGCCCCTGAAGAGCTGGTTGTGCTCTTCCCAACCCCTCCCTACAGGCTGCCTTCGACCAGCGTATGAAGATGTGGCAGCGCTGGCAGGATGCTCAGGCCATGCTGCAGAAGAAGCGGGAGGCTGAGGCTCGGCTGCTGTGGGCCAACAAGCCTGACAGGCTACAGCAGGCCAAGGATGATATCACAGAGGTATGCCCTTGCAGCAGCCTCACCAGGGCTGTTTTGCTGGTCCTGACTGACCCATTCCTCCTCATGCTCGGAGCACACAGCAGGAAAGACAACCGATCAAGGTTATGGAGCTGAGTGATGGCAGGCCTGGTCTTCCTCCTCACCTGACCCAAATCAGTCTCAGCAGGAGTCCTGGAAGTGCTCCCTGGGAGATTCAGATCGGCCTCCTGTCGAGGAGAAACTTAGCTTCTCTGGGGCTCCTGTTGCTGCTGGTCTCTGAACTAGATGCTCCTGAAATATCAGAGCTCTTTGGGAGACAAGACTTATTCCTTCCAGCCAGCCCATAAAGTGGCTTGCTGGACTTGGGCCTACATGCTGAATCTTGTATGTAGTATTAATCCTACCCAGAGGGACAGACAGATGCAGTGATCAGTTGAGGTCTCATGGAGAATTGCACCCAAACATGAAGGCTTAATTACAATACCACTTATATTGAATGATCTTTTCTTTCCTCTTTTCTTCCCAGTGGGAATCTCGAGTGACTCAGTACGAAAGGGACTTCGAAAGGATTTCAACAGTGGTACGGAAAGAAGTGATACGATTTGAGGTGAGATAGAAGATCCTAACTTCCCATTTAGTGTCCAGTTCTCATGAGCAGGCGAGGCCTGTGTGTATCAGTGTGTGCATGTGTGTGTGTGCACAACTTCCTCAGGTTCTGCTGGACCAGAGCAATTAGATAAAACAAAGCTTGTAGCTGCCATGTACCCTCTGGGCCCCCAGCCTTTTCCCTCCTCTACCCCAGCCCTGCCCTCCAAGAAAGCTTTCCAGAGCCTTGGCAGAGGCTGGCTGGAAGTTGTAGCTATTCTAGCTGCTGGCTCTACTTTCGGAGGCTGTGTTTGGCCTTGGTTAGCAATGAACTCCACCATCCCATTAAAAGGGGAAGGAACAACTGTCTGGATGGTCATGTAGAATCCTGTCTCCTATAGAAAGAGAAATCCAAGGACTTCAAAAACCATGTGATCAAGTACCTTGAGACACTCCTGTATTCACAGCAGCAGGTATGTAAGTTCTACATGACCTTCATCACTACCGCTGTTCCAAAGGCTGCTGCCTACCTGCGGCTTTGGTGAAAAGATGGGCAGGCCCTGCTTGGAGGGAGGGAGCGGTCATTGAAAGAAACCCTGCTGTTCCAGCATAGTGCATTTGACAGGGCTTTTCTGCTGTCCTGATTCCATGGTGAGGTGGTGTTTGAGGATAAACCCTGCCTCTTCTTTCCCTGTAAATTAACTTCTCACTGATTGGCCACCCTGTGGTACCACATAGCCCCCTTGAGGCTGAGGCCCCAGTCAGTGTTAGAACAGTGGCCCCATTGTGAGGAGTTACCTGAGCTGGACAAAGTTGTGGCCTCCATTGGGTGCTCTGCCTGGGGTGGGGCCAAGATTGTCTTCCAAGACTCAGCAACCGATGCTACACCAAAGTCTGGGGCAGAGGGGGTACCTGCTCGGCACACCTGGCTTGGGTAGCTGAGGGGCTCTTCAAGTGCCATGGCATTGTGCTTGCTCTGTGCTCAGGCTCTGCCACTAGATGGGGGCACTTGCTTACTGTCCCCCCACTTCTTTGCAGCTGGCAAAGTACTGGGAAGCCTTCCTTCCTGAGGCAAAGGCCATCTCCTAACGGACCAAGGATTCCAGAGCCCACCTGCGTGACGCTGCCTTTTTATACACTGTCCTCCTCCCCCTTGGTGCACCTCAGTGACGCATCCTGCCTAGGCTGGACTTCACCCCTCCCTTCCTCCCTGGCCCCCCACCCCTGACCAAGCTGTTCCCACTCACTCTAACCAGTACTTCATTTAGCTTCCATATATATTTTCTTACCTAAGAGAATAGTTTCCTGCTTTAAGCAAAAAACCTACAATAGGTGGTGGAATTATGGGATAGGGGTGGAGTATTGGTATAAATATATAAATACAAATGTATATTTTTCAGGATGTGGTTTAGGAACTGGGAATAACGTTTTCTGTTACTCCTGATGGTGCCATGAAAAGATTGTGTAATAAAATATTTTAAAATCAGGTTACATGACCAACATGGTGGTGCTTTTTGCTTTAGGCTGGGGAGCAGCTGGGAAGTAGGTGTCGATACACCTAACCGGGACATTGACCAGGTGTAGTAAGTTTCTCTCTACAGGAACTCCTCGCAGGTTTTTGCTGCTGCTTCCCTATGACATTGGGGTTTCTTTTTCTCCACTTACCTCAGCTGCCTTTTCTGAGGATCTCTTAATCTGTTTCATTCTTATTCTTATTTCTTTAAGGAAAGAGTTTTAAAGACATCTCTTATATTGAGAGGCAAAAGCTATTACACAAAAGCAGCTGACTTTCTTATTCCTATCCTATTTCCCTAAGCTGCTCAGGGCTCTCTGAGTGTTGCCTTCTGATGGTAAATCTTATGTTCTTACCCTTTTTGTTGTTGCCCATCAAAACAGCCTCATGGGCTGGGGATTCAGCTCACTGGTGCCACATCTGCCTTGAGAGCACAAGGTCCTGAGTTCAAGGGGGAAAGAAAAAAACAGCCTCAGGAACTAGGAGTATAGCTCAGTGGTAGAGCCCTTGCCTAGCATGTTGGAGGCCCTGGGTTCAATCTTCAACACCAAAACAATAGCAAAAACCCACCACATCCTTAACAGACTGTTCTTGTTAAGGTAGAAAGAAATAAGGACTTGATGCTCTATCCCAAAGATGCAGAGCCAGCCCTCTGCCTTTAGACAGGGTAATTCGAGAGCCTCTTCAGCCTGTGGTGGTTCAGAGCAGCTGTACTGTCTGTGCCCAGAGGAGCATGCCAGCACGAGCCCCCAGGAGAGGACAGCATGGGGCAAGGGCATTTAAGTGGTTTCTGCTGGTCTGGGGGGGGGACCAGTCTCAGTCATTGCTAGGCTGTCCCTTGCTGTGTCCACAGGTGTACTGGCAGAGCAGACTTGGAAGCTCCTCTGCATGGCAGTTGGCGGACTGCCTGCCATGGGAATCTTGCTGCCCAAAAATGGCCCTGCACGGGGCCTCTAGGACCTGCTATATCAGTTCTCCTGGCTGAGCAGCTAAGGTTTGGGGATAGACAGGCAGAGGTGAGCAAATAAACCATACTTATTTCCACTACTCAGAGGGACACCAAGGCCAAGTGGCATTGCTGTAGATATTACTGTCAACAGGTTACTTTTTGGAATAAGTTACTCGGTCTCTCCCTATATCCCAGTATCCTTATTCCCATCTTTGATTTTATCCTTCCAGTCTTTTTTTTTTTATGCTTACTTTTACATAGTTGTAATAATATACACATAAAATATTTTGTATCTTTTTATCATTGATATTGTATATTTACAAGTATCTTTCCTATATTCTTATATATCACACAACTTTATTTGTAAGGATATATAATTTGAAGCCTTTCTGAGAGTGACTGTACCATAATTTTGATTTATCCCGTACTGTTAGATTCTCAGTTTTAGGGGGTGGTTTTTGATAACTTTAATATGATTTCAGACTTACAGAAAAGTTGTAGGAATTTCACAGAGTCCCTGTATGTCCTTTACCGTTATTTACCAAGTGTTTATTGCATTTGCTTTATGGTTTGTTTTATCTATAGTATTTACATGTTGCATTTTCTGAATCATTTGAGTAAGTCCTACCCAGTTATATCCATCCCATCACCCCAGAAACTTTAGGATGTTAAGAACAAGGACATTCTCATATACTTTAAGTTCAGTTATCAAAACCAGGAAGTTTAGGGGCCGGGGATTTAGCTCAGTGGTTTCGCCGCCTGCTGCGCAAGCACAAGGACCCAAGTTCGATCCCCGGTACCAAAAAAAAAAACAGGAAGTTTAACACTGTGATATAATACTATTATCTAACCTATGGTCCACATTCAAATTTGTGAGTTGTCCCCATAACGTCCTTTGTAGAAATTCTTTTTCTTAATGCAGGATCATGTGTTACATTGAGTTGTGATATATATCAATCAATTGATCTCTCTCTTCACTGTTTTGGGAATTGAACCCAAGGGCTTCACACTGAGCTACATCCCCAGACATTTTTTATTTTTTAGACAGGGTCTTGCTCTTTACTGTGACATTTTTGAAGAATACAGGCCAGTTTTTTAAAAAACCATTCCCTCATTTGTATTTGTCTGATGGCTCATTGACTAGGCTGGTATTTTGCATTCTGGACAGAAATGTCACAGAGGTGAGTGCTGGATCCTCAGTGTGATTTGTGGGATATACTTCCAGATCATGTAAATATCTTGTTCTAGCATGTGTAAACAAAATATACTATTTGCTATTTAGCATCAGTTGGCAGTCTTGTCTGAATCAGCTATTGCTGTGAATAAGCAGTGTGATTTTCTAGGCCTATAATGCCCTCTACATTTAGATGTTGGCTTTCTACATCCAAAGGAAAGCATCCTCTCTCCTCATTTCTTTAACCACTTGTTTATCAATATGGGTGCATGGACTCCTATTTTACTTATTGCAAGACTTTGATTCTCAAACTTCCCTGTGTTTGTAATTGAGTACTTTTTGGCATAACCAGATGTGCCAGGTATCTTATAGCTTCCCTGCCCACATCTTAGAATCCGCCATTTCTCCATGGGATCTTGATTTCCTTTTAATGGAGAATGGAATTTAGAAGCAAAGATGTGGGAACTGAGTGTGCTCACTCCTACTAGAGTGTCATTCTGCTAGGCTCTCCAAGGACAGGGTAAGAAAATATATATAAATATATAGAAAGTTGAGAGAGGTAGAAGGATGATATAAGTAGAAAATCATGGTGCTGGAGTGTGTAGCTCATTGGTAGGGGGGTTGCCCAGCAGGTAAAAGGCCCTAGGTTTGATCCCAGAACCACCGAAAAGAAAACAAAAAAGAATTAACAGTGATAATCTAGTCCAGCACTATAAGCTAACTAGTTGACCTCCTTTTCTGTGTTTGTAACTCTGCTTTGAAGAGACTTATATTTAAAAACCTTTCTCCATGCTTTGTTAAGTTCTATCCAAAGATCATCTTGATATTACACATTATCTCCTTGGGTCCAGTCCTTCTCTGGTTTCAGAACTTCCTCTTCAGCCTCTTGTCCCAAAGCTGACAGGCCCATTACTCTCAGAACTTGTAATTTTCTGTGCATTGCTGCAAATGAGTGGTGCTGTGCCAGAAATCTCTACTGGGAATGACAGAGGGGTAAAAGAGGGAGGTGTCATTCCACCTGGGGACTGAGGAGGGAGAGATTTATGGAGAAAACAGATGCTTGAACTATGCCTGAGAGAACTTGCTAGGCACTGTGGACATGGGGCTCAAGTGTGGGAAGCTATCATGGAGAATTGCCCTTTGTGAGGTGGACCTGTGAGGAGGGACCCTAAGGTTCCTCACAGCCATCTGAAAGTCGAGGAGGGTAGTAATGATGGGGCCAGAGCGTGGGGAAAGGTTGAGAGGGACACAACCACTGAGGTTTGGCCACTGGCTTGATGAGAGGCCTGAGGGAAAGCAGTACAGCTAGCATGGCTCCCTGGTTCTGGCTAGAATATTAGGGTAGATAGAGAAGGACGTGGGTTGCGTGGGAGGCAAATAGGCACGGAGCAGCTGGGAGGGGAAACAGAGGTCACTGAGGTGCCTCTGGATGTGATAGGTGGCCACTGATTAGAGGTGGAAAGATACACAATAGAAGGGGGCTTTGTTTAAAGGTGGGGCAGATTTAAGCATGTTGGGAAGATCAGAGGCAACAAAGGGAATAACTATCAGAGCCATGTCTGGGAGAAAATGCAGCCTGGGGCACAGCCTCTGCAGTTCCTGTGCTCCGGGAGCCTCATGGGTGAGAACACCTAGGAGGAGGGACAACTGGGAGTTCAGATGAGGTATGGAGATGAGCCTGCACCTGCCCTTTGGCTGTTTAACCCCAAATCTCAGGGCTCCACCTGAAGATGAGGACTTAAAGCTCAAGAAAGCCTTATATACATGTACAGATTCACTGGGAGTGAGAGAAGTAGAGACAAGGCAGGCTGGAAGTGTTACACATAAATACTAGCGCTTCTGAACACTTCCCAGAAGGCTTCTACTCTTGAGTGCACCTGCAGCTGGGAACCCTAAGGAAAATAAAGAGGGCCTTTGCAGAGACTCAGAATTTAACAAAGGAGAACTGAAGGATGGGCCAGGATCTGATGGAACAGAGTGGTGATAGAAGGCCTAGGGCCCACAAGGCGGAAGCCCACAGCTTGTGAGAGACAGCCCCCAGGTGGCAGATTTCCCCACCAGTACAGTACTTGGCAGCTGTGGAAGGGGGACAGCAGAGGACAATGGCAACCCCTCTCCTCACAGAGGAGGACATCTTTGCTGCAGTTGGCATAGGCCTGAGGCACCCCCTTTGGAGATGGGGCTAAGATTCTCTACTTCACGTCTGGGTAGGGGGGCCAGAGCCGAGAGGTATAAATGGATGCAAACAACTCAGCCCAGTCCTCCAGACCTTGGTAATGGTGCGTATGTCACCGCAGTGCCCATGATAGCGGCTGTGTGGCCTGATGTTGGTGTTCCCCACCAAACTATAAACTGGGAGCTGGCATGGCCACAGCAACAGCTGCCAAACAGCTGACTGGAATGACTAAGTGGTCACAGGCTCTGCCAGCTGGCACTCACAGCCACCTGTGAGGCGACAGCTCACTGTGCTGTCTCCTGTGCTTAGGTCTGTGTGGCCTGAGAGCCCTCGTTAGGCCAGGGTTTGTTCTTGCAGTGCCGGGTCTCAGCTCTTGTCCTCCTCAATCTCACAATTATAGCTGGCAGGGTTGTTTTTGTTTTGTTTTTTATTTTTTAGTGCAGTACTGAAGACTGAACCCAGGGCTCCTGTGTGCTGGGTAACCTGTCTGAAAGAAGCATTTTTCAAGATTGTGGATGGGGTTATGTAAGTGTAAGAGACAACAGGCACTTGCCAGTGTGTCAGGACACTCACTGAGGATCCTCATAGATGCTTCTAGAAATCAGCCAGTACCACAGGACATTTGTCAGGTGATGTGTATCCCATTCCCAGGGTCCAGAGGACAGGGCTGAGTGCTCATTTATTTGTAAGCCTCATGAGGAAGGCCTTCCAAAGACACCCTGTCATAGTCTCGTTCACAGCTGCAAAATCTAAAATTGACCTAGATGTCCATGAGGAAGGGATTAAATGAATTATGGTACAGTCATACAATTGAATATTATACAGCCATGAAAAGTAACACTGACGATGAGAAAAGCTCATTTATGAGTGAAAAAAGCAGTTATAAAATTGTTTGTATAAAAAGAATTAGATACATGTTACCATACTTTATAAAGTTTTATATATGAGAAGGATGTTCACTGAATTGTTAACTATGGCTGCTTCTACCAATGGAATTTTGCATTACTTTAAATTTCTTACATTCTCTTACGTTGCTTAAAATTTCTGTGTATTACCTTTATAACCAGAGAAATAAAATAAAGCTATTTTCACTATGGGAGAACAATCCAGTGCATCCTTTGAGGCCTACTTCATATTTAAAC